ATCAACTATATCTGTAAAGTCGATTTTTTATGGATTTTTAAAGTTTCATAACCATTTCAGAGAAAAGAAAAGTTTCGGTCAAGTTTAAACCTCTCTATCTCAAAATCTAACAGCAATTTTTTAAAATGTGATTGTTTATTGTAAAGAACACACTTTTATTGCTTAGTAGAGTAAATTTTATCAACTATATCTGCGAAATCGATTTTTTACGGATTTTTAAACTTTCATAACCATTTCAAAGAGAAGAAAAGTTTCTGTCGAATTTAAACCTCTCTATCTCAAAATCTAACAGTAATCCTTTAAAATGGAATCGTTTAATGGAAAGAACACACATTTATTGATAATTAGTGAACATCTTATAAACAGATTCCATTGAATCGATTTTTTACATATTAAAAAGGAAATGTTAGCTTGCAAAATGGGAAAGAATTTCAACGGAGTTTAAAATCGTTTATCTCAAGAACTAAAATGATATTTCATAAGCGGGTTTCGCCATCAAAAGAGTCATATTATTCTTTATAATTGTTGACAATTTCATGCCGATATCTGCAAAAATCGATTTTTTTGATTCGAATGCCAATTAAGAGAAATCTCAGAAACTTTTTCATGATCTGATCGGCCATTTATTTTATGTACATTTAAATGAGCATGTCATCACTCAGCCCTCTGTGTCCACTGTTGGAGATAGACCTTCCCTAATTCCTCCCATTTTTTCATGTCTTGTGCTGCTTTAATCCAGTTATTAGAAGCTCGAGGTCTTCATTCCAACAGCCATTTCGTCCATTTTTCATCTGTCCTTCAGGCTACATATCCAGCACAGCTCCATTTGAGTCTGGCGATGCGAGAAACGCCTGTTCTTCGGCGCAAGTCCTCATTTCTATCTTTCCATCAAAGTTTTTTTTAGACATATTGCCATATAGGTCATATAGGTTGCTCTTAAACACATCTCTGAGGTTACCATATGCTGCCCATGAGAGGATTATTCTCCTCCTTGGTTCGCAGGTTTGGTTGTCTCTTGTGATTTTAATTTCATGACCAAGCTAGGTGTACATATCCACTAGTTCAATTTCCTTTCCTTCCATTACAATGTTTTGGCTGAGAACCAGATTGGCCATAAATTCTGTTTTAGAGATATTGATTTCCAGACCAACCGATGCACATACTTCCTTCAGCTCACGCAGCATCAGTTTAATCTCGCCGAAATTATCACACAATGTCATCCACAAAATGTGAAATTGTTAGTCTTCGACCGTTAATGTTTATGCCTTTATTCTCACAGTCCAGCTTTTTGAATACTTATTTCAGGACTGTGATAAATAGCTTAGGTAGTATTCTAGTTAATCTTCAAGTCTGGTGGATTCAGAAGGCTTATTGGTCTATAGTTATCGAAGTCGGCTGTTTCTCCTTTTTTGTGAGACAGTATTTAGATATTTACTCGGTATTGTGCTGTTAAATAGACAGAGATTAAATAGGACCCTTATTTTCTGGAGCAACCATCTATATTGCGTCAGTAGCCACAGAATCTTCTCCTTGTACTCTATTACTTCTAGTCTTTCTTAGAGCAAATTCAATCTCCTCCAGCGAAATATCTGCCATTTCTTAAGATCCTTCCCCTGATAGTATATCTGGTTCCGGATTTAACTTCATATTCTTATCCCACCGACTTTTGTACAACAACTGATAAAAATCCTATTCGCTATTATTCTTCACTATGAATTGTACACAATTATTACCAAAAGTAATAATACTCAAAATATTAAGTATACATCGAAAAATAAACAAAAAAGATTTGATTTGAGATGTTTTTATAATAAATTTATATTTATACATATTTTTTATTTAAATTTTATTTACGTATCAACCTTTTGAAGGTGAACCCGGTGAAAATGAATGTTTGCGTTTCGTGGCTTGTAACGAACCACAACAAGCTCGAAGATATATAACAGCAGGAGAAACGCTTTTAAAATTATCCAAGATGTTTGTAACGGAAGAAAATCATGTGTATAAAATGTCTTTGAATGAGTTAAGACAAGCCGCAGGGTACGGAATATCTGGTGGTGATTGTAATCGATTTTCCTGCGATAAAAATATTAAATAGAATTTTTTTTTAAATAGATGTTGTCTAGAATAGATTTTTGTTGGAATAAATGTTTTTATTTTTAAACCATTTTTACTTGGGGTTGTATACTTGGTTTTCTACCACCTGATATAAATTCGGGGTAGTTTAAAAACCCATCTTTATCGACATCATCTTCTTCTAACGCTTTATCAATTAATTCTAAAAAATAAATAATCATAACATAATATTAACATTAATTAATTAATTACCAATATAATAAGCGATATCATTAGCTTGACTCGCTGTTGAATTTTCATTTTCCTCAAGACTATGGGTGGTATGCATGATGGCTTGAAGAATTTCTAGGCCGTCTAGCTTAGAATTATGGTCGGCATCGTGTAATTGAAAATAATAAAACTCTAATTCTTCCTTAGATAGCTTAGATAAATCAATTTCTTGATTCATTTCGCCTAAATGTTCTTGTAAATGTTCAGTGTCATGTAATAATTGTTCATCTTGATTAAACTTGGACTCTCCATTAATTTTCGACGGTTTATAATGAACGTGATGTTGGGCGACCTTTCCACTTGGATGATGAGGGCCCCGAGCTCCAACGCAAGTCAACCCCAAAACGAACAACAAAACTAATCCCAACCACATTTTTAGTCGGTGTTGTTCGATTCGGTCTTTGACCAGTATCAACCTGAAAAAGATAATAAACACGTTTTTTTGAATCTTTTTATTCAATCCCTCAAAGTTCCGTTAATAAAGGACCCTTATAAAACCCTAGGGATGTTGTAATTACGCTCAGATAACATCTCCGGTTACAGAAAACTTTGAAATAGAAGGGGCGTGTACGCACATATGTGCACTTTGCTCTTGATGTCCTTCCTTTTTCGACACAATGTGGACAACGGGGGTGTTGCCAACAAGTGCAAAAGTTTTGTGCTGTACAAGACCAGAGGGGGTTTCAACCTTAATCCCCACACGTCCCACAATTGAGAAGGTTGCAGTAAATTGATATGTAAACCGGGGAGGGTTAAAGCTTTTCAATTGAAAATGTTGACAGTAGGTCTGTCATTATGTCCTTATTAACTCAAAAATTATCATTACAGAAAAGAATTGTTCCTAAAAATGTTCAAAAATTATTTAAAACGTACTTACATTATCTTTAAATGTCATTTATTCTTCTTAAAAAGCGAAATAATAAATTAGTTTTGTTTTTAACCGTTTCCGGTATTCTTTACTTATAAACTGAACCCATTGAAAAACAAAGCAAAGGATTATTGAGGGGAAAATCAATATTTAATGCAGCATCAATAGAGTTTGCGCAAAGCTTTTTTGGGGGGATGCTAAGTTGTAAGCTTTGACGTTAGATGTCGGGGAGAAATCAAATTGCGTTGTGGTTAAGTTTCAGATCAAAAGATGGCAAAATTTCTTTTCAGATTAATTTTACTCTTACATAATATATAAATAATTGAGTCATTATTATAAAAATAATTTATAGATGTAAAGTTTTAATTTTAGGTCAAAAGATGGCGATGTCGATCCAATGATTTTTCAGCTAGAGCTTTCGACCGAGCTTTCGTCGGTGTATCCGAATGCAACGAAGTTATCCCATTATCCCTTTGAATACTTTCAAAGAAATCTTATCCAACGCTAAATAAAGCGGAAAATTAAAAGATGCCTCCGACGCGATGATATCCACGATTTCTTTTCTTTGTAGTACATAATTTTTGTTTACTGTTTAATACGTTTTAAAGTGGTTATTTTTTTTTTAAATTTAGTTAATTGAATAAAATTTGAAAATAATGAGTGAAGTTTCGTAAAATATGCATGCTTTAATTATTAATGGGGTTGGTTTGATTGGATTTGTTTAAATAATTTCCATTATCGTTATAGCTGGTAATTAATGCGGTCTCGCTGAAAATTGCACTACTTATTCGGTTGTTTAATAAATAGCTGATGAATAATTTGATCATCACGGTGTTGTTTTAAAACATTTATTAAAAAGAATGTCATAAACCATCTATTATATTGATAAAATTCGTCATTTCGATATGCTTTGAATATTAGTGTTCGATTACTATCGGGGTGGAAGACGAGCGAGGCTGATTAAAATTCCTAGTCGGCTACTTAATCCCCAATAAATAATTCATGATCGACTACGCTTCAATTGTACCCCAGCCTGGAGCAACCCCATTTACTTTTCGCCAACAAAAAACATACATTTATTATTTTAAAATAGATCATTATTTTTTAGTTTTACACTGAACTAATCGTGTTTCTTATTTTATTTTAAGACGGAACTTAAACTTTAACATAAATTCAATAGAACCATCAAATGTTACCACTACCATAAGCGACAGACGCCATCCCAATTTGAATACATTACCAATTGGTAAAATTTCATTTCGGCTTCTACCGCAATAGAATTTGCAATTGACGACCACGCAGTGGTATCAAAACAAAATAACTTTCTTAAATAATACAATTAACCCTTTAAAAAAAATTATTATGGAAACATTTTAAAACTGATCCCTTTTTTGTTTGAAACGCGGAAATTGGAGAACCCGATGGCGAGCGCATTAAGTGGCTTTATCACGGTTTGGAAGGCGATCACAATCTGCACTATCCGATTATGATCCGAAGCACTCGGGATTATCGCCCTGGCGAGAGCACTCGCGCCCCTGTTCTTTGGGGGTGGTTGGATGGCAGTAGGTGCGTGTACAGCGGGGGGCAGCTTGAAATCGGCGGCAGGAAACCCGTAGTTTCGAATGTATGAAGGGTGAATAGTCCGCACCCTCGCCAATTGCACCACCTGCAACCCCCTTTCAACTAAACCACCGTTCGACAAACCGTTATTATTTGTATTGATGTGACTTTTATGATGACAAATTGACGAAATCTCGATTTATTAATTTTTCTTAACGAATCTATGAAATCTTGAAATCAAGAAGAGATCATAATGTAAGAAAATCAATTCAAAATCTTCAGTATAAAGTAAATTCATTTGAGGTAAATAACTAGAATTGAAAGCTTTTTATTATAAATCTTGTTTTGAATTAACAATTTCAACCAAACTTGTCGGACGTCACTTTTTCGACCTCACAACTGATCTTCTGCTCACACCTCCACAACGATCAAAGATAATTCTTGTGGTACTTTTCATGTCTCTTCTGCAATGTAGAAGATACAACTCAAACAAGTAAGTGCGTGATGAAACCAGTTGGAAAAGAAATTTTAAGACTTTTTCTATCAGATAATTTCATTACACAGGGACAGCCAAATTATTATCCAACCCAAGATATTTACACCTGCAGATACTCAGATGGTAAGACCGAAAATATGTCTTGATTTTAATATCAAATTTAGTCAGCTAAGATCTAATACCTATCTGACTTGTACTAGATTTGCCAAAGAACTCAAGTAATGATTCTAAAATGAGACAAAGAACTTCACCACATTAAAATCGTTTTTTGATGACAAAATAAGACAGAAAGCGCTAAATCAACTAAAGATCCTTTTTTTTAATGAGCTCGCCAATTTTTTGAGGCGCTGTATCATGTCACATAATGAGTTCTAAAATAAAAAAACTATTTATTGTTTCAAATAAGTGTATCTCAAAATGTAAATGACACAATCACGTAATACTTAGTTATTTTGGATAATACTGAACGGTTTTCCAATACCAGGTGATTCTCAACCTAAACGCATAAACATGGGGATTTACTTCTGATGACGAATAATGACTAATAGGCGAAATAATTTGCAATCTGTGATATTTACTTTCAAATCCAGAATATATAGAACATTTTAAAATAACATCACAGCAAGTGTTTGAAGTTATTTCCTATATTTTCTATGAATTGAGCTCCAAGAATCCACGATCTTCCAGTAGCGCAGCTTAAACCAGGGTGTTTGCGGATTCTCTGGGCAGCAGCATGTATCTAATTTTGCAATATTTGCTCAGTTTAATTTCCGTGGCGTACACTATGCTTTTTAAGTGACTCGAAAAGTAAAAAGCAAGAGATATTGAACCATCTCGGCCTATCCATCTTCCAGGAAACACATTATCAAGATGTAGATGATTATATCGAATATCTACGAAACTAAAGAACTTTTACTACAATTTTTTATCTATTAGTCATTATTTGTCATGAGGAATAAATCACCTAGTTTTTGGGTATAGGTTGAGAATCACCCTGTATAATACATCGTTACCCAGAAACAGGTTATAGTTTAAACAAGTCTGCAAAAACGAGAATATTGTTCACAGTCATCGAAATTCAATATGACATGATTAAAAAAAATTAAACCTTAACACTTTAGATATTCACGCCTGATGCAGATTGGACCAATCAAGGGATTATGAAGTGCAGTGCAATTAACATTAGCAAACAAAACCAACCTTATTCAACATATCCACCTGGGAGCGCAACATCCAAAACCTTACCCAACATTTTTTACCTGAAAATCAACGACCCCGTTAAAGGAAACTCATCTTACTCAACATTTCCACCTGGGGGCAACCAAACTCACCTTTCCCAATCTACTTAGAATTGCGCAAAATCCATAACCTTACCTATTATGTTGAAGGTCATCAAGACAGGTAAAAAAAAACTAACATTACTCAACATTCCTACCTGGGGCTCATTAACCGTGTAGACAAAACTCACCTTTCCCAACCTAGCTGGAATTGCGCAACTTCCATGATATAACCCAACATTGTTTACCTGGAAATCATCATTTCTGCCTGGTGGTTATTAACCTTGGTGGACAAAACTGACCTTTCCCAACCTAACGGAATTGCCCACCGTCCATAACCTTACCTAAACTGACTTAATCCAAAAAATTTGTTTTGATCTTCAATCGTGTCATGCCGACCCTGCCATATTTTCTGATACGTGAGCTTTTCTTCTGCTGATTTCTTAGCAGTTAATTATATTTAATAATTATATATTTTGTTAATATTTTCATTCTTGTTTTGAATTGTTTACACGTATTTCGATAGTACGAGGTTGGTTCACGTTGTTTCCCTCTTACATAAAACACGATGAAGATTTTTCCCATATCTTTCCATTTTTATTTATCCTTGCAATTACTATTACTTGTAAATGTTGCGGAGATAAATTTAGAGATGCTAAAATAGTACGATATTTTTCTTTCATGCAACTTTCTGCCATTTTCCCACTGTTTGTGTTGTTTTGCCAACATCCAGGCTAAGAATGTTGTGTATTTGTAACGTTTTATATTGTCAATCGATGCCACAGTATACAACATCCACTATTCATGGCACAAAATCCCGGCACGATAGCGAACTCCATTATTATCGAGGAAAAAATATGGTCCAATCATACATCCGGCATAAAATCCACACTTGAAGTACATGTGAGTTTGTTACTGTATAATACCTCATATTTTGCTTATTGATAACGTCATTATATCAAAAATATGCTTCATCGCTAAAGATGATTTTTCGATGAAATACAAAATTTTCTTCAAACTAGCAGAAAATTTAAATCTGAGAAATTTCAGTGTTTGAAATGATCAAGAATGTAAGACAAGATTTTTCTGCAAAATTAACCACAATGTGAGTTGACAGATTCCCAATTTCAGTGAATTCCAGTAAGGTTCATTTTAAACTGAGCATTTCCGGCTACGATTTTTTTTAGTACTCCAAACGCTGAATTGTCTCATTTTTATATTTTTTGTTGTTCGTGGTTTCATAATTAATCAAGATATAACATCACATAACATAACATGGTGTGACATCAGGTTTTGATTCAGATTTGTGCAACGGAAACTTTTGCAAAATTTTAGCAGGCCTACGGAGACAGTGTTTTATCAAACGGTCCAGGTTTTTCGTCGTTTTTAGTCGATTGAACATGAACCACAAAGCAGAAGGCCTTCATTTTCAAGAAACGATGAAAATGTCGATATAATCCGGGATCTTGTAAGTCCAGATCATCGGTTGACAGTCAGAACGATAGGGGAAGAGTTGAATTTGACTCACACCACCAGATTTCATCATCAGATTTTGATCAATGAATTGAGGATAAGAAAAATTTACACAAGAATGGTTCCAAAAAATCTTTCGTAACACCAAAAGGATATCAGGAGACCTTGGCTTCTTGGAATCAAAATGATCCCCATATTCTGGAACGTGTGATTACTGGAGGCGAGTCTTGGGTGTTTGAGTTCGACCCAGAAAGCAAGCGCCAAATCATGAAGTGACACACCTCAACCTCTCCAAGGCCCAAAAAAGCAA